TTACTGATAATACTGTTTGAATAGTGTTCATTGTATTCATACAATGTATGTGACATTTCTCGGGTAACACTATCGCTGACTCTATCAATGCTCGCAATTTGGCGAAAAAATATTAATATAATTTTTTTCACTACTTTTTTAGTCTCAAAACCAAAGATTAGAGAATAATTCAGTCGATTGTGTTTAGAGAGCGGCTGAAAGTGCTTTCTTCAAAGTGATTATCACAACACGTTTGCCAACAAATTGCTATTTATTTATATTATAAACAAGGAAATCTAATTTACATTTTAGGCATTCAATTGAAGCTTTCTATTCAATTATCGCATATAATGTTCAAAACCAAGAAAATCGATGAATTCGGCGGACAGACAGGTAATGACGAGCAGAGCGAAGACGTGGTGATCACTGAAGAGAAGATCATTGGCGACGACGGCGTCGAGAGGACTATCATCAAGAAGACGACGACCAGACGTACGGTTCAGACCCAGAATGTGACCCAAGGGGCCAGAGTTACCACAGTTAAGAGGTCGGTCACCAACAGTGATGGCCAACTGGTGACAGAAGAGTTCAAAGACTTTAAGGACTTAAGTTTAGGCGACCACAAGAAGCTGCCGATTGAGAACCGAAAGTCGAGATCCGGTTCGACATCGTCTTCCTCCTCATCGGACGACGGCATCAAACAAAGGATTAAATCGTTTTTCGGTGGAAATAAGGATAAGAAAGACAAGAAGGAGAAACACACGGCTATTAAAGATAAATCGGAGCCGTCGTCGCCCACCGGATCTGCTGGCGAACCGCCATCGCATCCAACCGATGACGACAAAGAGTTTGCTGAGGAGTGCCTCAAATGGCATAACCATTACCGGCAGAAACACGGCGTGAAGCCTCTTAAACTGTCTGATAAAGTGAGACTTCTTGAGATTTAAAATTGTATTTTGTGGTCTAAAATATGATGTGTGTTTTGAATAGCTGTGCGATTATGCGAGGGAATGGGCCCTACAAATAGCAACGAGGGACACACTCGAGCACCGGCCACATAATACTTATGGCGAGAATATATTCATGAAGTGGTCGTCTAATCCTAATTTCAAGATCGCAGGTATTTATTAAAACTATTTTAATCATTAAATTTAATTGTCATTTAATATCGAAATTCTTAACAAATTTAATTTGTCGTCTGATGTATAGGTAGGGATCCGGTGGACAACTGGTACGCCGAGATCAAAGACCACACATTTGGCAGAGAGCCCACTTCATTAGCATCCGGTACATCTACTAGCGTACTTGCCTAGCTTTTTAATTCACTAAACGAATATTTACTTAAGTATTAAACACATAAAAAACTAATCAAATCTTTTTTGTCATAAGTGTTGCTCTCTCTCCTTCCATATAACTTGAGTGAAATGACCTAAAAATGTGTGTTTCAGGTTATGCCATTTGAGGCACTCCTCAGCAAACTCTTTGTCGTCATCGGTTGGATGCGATGGCGGTTCGCCAGCAGATCCGGTGGGCGACGACGGCTCCGATTTATCTTTAATAGCCGTGTGTTTCTCCTTCTTGTCTTTCTTATCCTTATTTCCACCGAAAAACGATTTAATCCTTTGTTTGATGCCATCGTCCGATGAGGAGGAAGACGATGTGGAACCGGATCTCGACTTTCGGTTCTCAATCGGCAGCTTCTTGTGGTCGCCTAAACTTAAGTCCTTAAAGTCTTTGAACTCTTCTGTCACCAGTTGGCCATCACTGTTGGTGACCGACCTCTTCACTGTGGTCACTCTGGCCCCTTGGGTCACATTCTGGGTCTGAACCGTACGTCTGGTCGTCGTCTTCTTGATGATAGTCCTCTCGACGCCGTCCTCGCCAATGATCTTCTCTTCGGTGATCACCACGTCTTCGCTCTGCTCGTCATTACCTGTCTGTCCGCCGAATTCATCGATTTTCTTGGTTTTGAACATTATATGCGATTATTGAATAGAAACTTCAATTGAATGCCTAAAATGTAAATTAGATTTCCTTGTTGTTGTCTATAATATAAATAAATAGCAATTTGATAATCACTTTGAAGAAAGCACTTTCAGCCGCTCTCTAAACACAATCGACTGAATTATTCTCTAATCTTTGGTTTTGAGACTAAAAAAGTAGTGTTTTTTAATATAATTATAAAAAAGCGGTTTAACGCTCGTAACTATCTCAGTCGCTATCACAATGGGCTCTTTACAGTGTATGTAACATACTTATGTTACTTGTGATAAGTTTGTCATAATAGTCATTATAATTTTAATAATATTTTTTCTATGATATCGGAAAATATATTTTCACATGTAATATTTTTAGGATTCATGTTTCGTAACTATCATTTCCAATGTATTCAACAATATTTAGATTAACATAACAGTCGTGGATTCCTTTCATTATATGTCACTGTAAACAGTTTTATAGTGTGTTTTTGTTTTAATCAAATTGCGAGTTTAGAAAATTTTGTTTAACACACTCACACTCAAATGTGTCTGTCATTTGCTAACTATAAATATGTGTTGATCACAACGAATGCAATCATTGTTTAATACTGTAATCATATCTCGAAGCGAATTATTTATTCCTCAGATAGTAATTGACAGCTCTTTGAGGACTTTGACTGAAAAATTCTTATGAAAATTCTGTTTCAATACATGCCTGTAAATGTCAAATGAATACTATGTTTCAATCAATTGTTATAAACAGCATACATAGTCTTGTATAATAAAATATCTTCTGTTTAATAGTCGCTGATTCGCATGAGTTATCATTTCTGCCATTTTTTGCATTACTTATTAAATGCAAACAAATTGTTTTCAAGTGATTCCTAATAAACTAATACTAATTAGCGAAATATGAGAATCATTCATAAAGTCAATGGAAATATACTACTGTATAAGCCTTATACTATAAAGTTATTTGTATGAACTGATTTCAATATAAAGTTTAAGTGTTTTATTATTGTCGTATAAATTGAATATTAGTTTATTATATTGAGTTAATCCGCTTTTTTTATTGATAACCCTTTTTATAGTGCAAGTCGTAAACATAATAAATTCTCAATGATTTATTAGAAATAAAAAATTAATATTTTTAATCAATAATTCAATTTGTTTTGAGATAAAATCTTATTTTATACAATTAATATTTTAATCAATAAATTGGTTTAATATTTAATAAATTTATTCGTTATATTTTTGGCACATTTATTGAATGAGATATGTTTTGGTGGTTTGTTGTAATCAATCAGTTATTATGTATTATAAAAGAGACCACAATTTTTTTAATTGACAATTAATTTGTTGACAGAATAGTAATTGTTATCACAATTAATAATTAATTAAATATTTGATATGAAATGTTTTTTTTGTTGTTTTCCCAGAATATATTGCCATTATGTCGGTTTTTGTTATGTATATAATTAATTAGTAATAATAATAAATGAATTGTTTTATAACATTATTTTCTTTAACATACAATTAAAGTAATGTTTTATAAGATTTAAATAATACTGTATTTACAGATAACCTAATAATAACTGTATAACGGTTTAGATAAACTAAATAACAAACATTTTATATGACATATAGTTTTGTCCTCTTTTGTTTTCAAATTAATTACATTTTTAGTCACTTATTACAGAATAATTAAAAGGATTTTGACATTAATTATTATTGAAATGTTATATGATAAATAAGTAAAACATTTTTGTATGATATGTAATGATATGAATCGTTGTTCACTTTCATCCACTGTTTACATGTATATAATAATAGCTTTCATCTCAATTGTATTTCAATGATTATAAATATATTAATTATAATAATATATAGGATTGTCTCTGAAAATGAGTTATTATTTATAATATATATTGTATATCGTTAACATTATATACACTATAATAAGAAAAATGGAAAAAATAGAGTATTATATTATTTACTATCTTATATTAATAATATACCAATTTGTACAAATAAAATTGAGATTATTTTCGTAAATTAAAACATTTTTAGGTAGCTTTCTGTTATCAAATCAAACAATATATACATGTACAATTTACAGTACATACTATTGTATTAATTTTAATATATTAATTTGTCATCACGTGATTCATTTGAGTTAAATTTAATAAATATAAAAAAGTGTTTTTTATTCACAGAATAAGAGATTTGTTTTTGTGTTGTATAATGACATTAAATTATACGATCAAGGTGACATTTATTCAAAGCTATTATTCAATAGCATGAACGAGGATCGCCTCAAATCAAACTCATTGCGCGACTTCTCTCTGACCAGAAATTCAATGAAGTCCTTGTGTGGTGTGTTATAGTAGGCGTGTGCAATCATCTGGGCCACCTGGTCGTGGTTTAGGTTAGCCGTCGTCCTACCGTCCACTTCCAGCAGTATGTGTCCCACGTGTAGGTCCCCGCACTCTATGGCGGCGCCAGAACTCTGTCCGTCAAAAATAAACATCATTTTAGTAATTAATTCTTGAGATTCTTGATGAGAATAGTACAGAATCTGCATTAATTGCCTGATCAGCGTAAATATATGACTAATTCCTTGTTATTCCTATGAGTCAAACAAAAGAGTTGCTCCGAAATAACACAAATTAATTTATATTTTGATTTATGTTCACTTTTCATAAACATTGGATCACTTTATGTATGATGCTGATTTTTGTTTTTATAACTTTGGTGTTCAAACCCTTTTCCTAGTTTTGTTTGGTTTACACGTTATATTTAGTGATTTTTATTTCAAACTAGCTGTTAGTATAGCGAGTGTGCTATATATATAATATATCTATATTATATGATTTATTTGTCGAGTGAGTTGTGTATAAATTTCAAGACATTTAAAAATAATGTGATAAATAATTAATGTTTGTTTAAAACAAAGTTTTCGTTGTTATATATTGTATCTAACCTATTTTAGCATAATTTATCAGTGAATTTTATAATTAATTAAAATTAATTCTAATGTATATTTTCAAAATTGCTTAATATAACTTTTAAAATAGCTTTAATTTTTATGATTTAACCCTAACTTCATATTCAAAATTGAATGCACCGGCGGAAATGAATAATTTATTAATAAATTATATTTTTTTCATTTCCAGTAATGTAATCATAATTTCAAATTTGATTATAATTCAAATTCATTAGAAAAGCGGCCTGTTTGAGTTTAGCTCATAATTTAATATTTTATAATAAATTTATTGAGTAATCCGGAGCTAATAAAAAACAACTTTATTAGACATCATAAACCACTCAAATAAATATTTGGTCGACTCTACTGTAACTACGATTGTAACCCAAAGAAATAAAATACAATAAAACATTAAATACTCGTAAATAAGATTTATTACATAAGCTATTACTGTATATAACTTTTTTATGAAAAATATAAGTTACTATAATTGTCAATAATAGTAAGTCATATTATTAATATACAGTATATTTTAATAAAGTCTATAATAATTTAATAATTTTAAAATATCGCTGTCGTACTATTTGAAGTTTTAGACTAATTGTAATAAATAAGACCTAGTTGACTTACATGTATGCTAATAATCCTGGGTTGTGTCTGTGAGGGCACGTTAACACCCCCTTCGATGGCAATCCCCAGAATGGGTTTGGATTTCTTGACGGATACCCTCCACTGGCCGTTCTGTTCCCGAATAGCTTTATGGCTCTGTATAAAGGATATGGATATCATTTATTAACAAATAATAATAATAATAATAATAATATGTTATTATTTAATTACTTAAGTACATTTTTGTTTGCAAATCTNAAATATATTTCCGGATACCAGTGTCTACTGGAAAAGTGGACCGGATTTGTCTGGAAAGTCCTCAACAACACCTCACATACAGTATAAAGAAATAGTTATTTGTTTTGTCGACAAACAGTTTCTATTTGAAATTGTGAAGTGTTTGGCGAGAAAATAGATAACAAAACAATATTTTAAATTGCTACTGAGATTATATTTTGTTGTCATTTATAGTAAAAAACAAATATAATATTCTTTGTCTCAAGTATTTGTGTTTGAAGTACAGTAACTAAAAGGAAAAAATAATTAAAAACATAAAACTACAATATGTGTTTGATATATCAAATATAAAGACATACACTCAATATAATAAGCCTTATATACCGGTGTGATAGAGTAGTGCACATAAATTAAATGGAAATTCAATTGTAAAATGTGTTTCAAATGCAAAGTATAATAAATCTTTTGTTTTCGAGATATAAACCCAAAGTAAATCCTAACAAATGTGTGTTATTTTCAATACAAAAAAAGTAGAGCACAAACTTTATGTTTTTTACATTTTAAACTACAAATAAGTTACACACAAAAACTATTTATTATTCATTTATAAGTATTGATATCCTTTTTGAAAATCATAATAAATCAGTTAAATATACGAATTACGGGTTTCTTATGATTAAGTCATTACATGAAACTAGTTTTAATTTGGTTTAAAAATATAACATAAATATATAGATATAATTCAATTCATTGAAACATAAATATTAGTTCAAAAATATGAATTAGTTTTAGTTTTTAGACACAATAAAAGACTTTAATGTATTCATGTTTTCAACACTCACTTAGTTTCTAATAATTGTCAAAAATTATTCAAAATAGCTTTTATTTAAGTGTACATTATAGTTTCAAGAAAATTAAGTTCATTAACATATTTTGTGCATTATATAGAGTGCATGGTAAAAAATAAAAATAAAAATTTAAAAATTATTCTATTCTAACAAATAAAATATAAATTAAAAGTAATGCTCACAGTTAGGCTATTAATATACAGTATTATACTATATCTCACTTTAATTAGAATAAATATAATAAAAACCATATTTCATATCATATTAATATTACTTACTGTATTTAGATTTATTTTTAGACATTGTTTTATTTTAAAACCTAAAAGATATAGTTTTCTAAACTTATAGCAAATAATTATATTCTCAAGATTTAATTTGTTAGAAAAATCTCTTGAGTTCAAAAACTTATTGATTATTTATCAGTCACATAATATGTGAAACTACAGATGAAAGGGAAGGGTGGTTTTATCCCCTTTTACAACATATTAGATAAAAGGTTATTTATTTTTGGACATGAATTTATAACAAATTGAAACCAGAAAATGTCAAATAAGATCTTTGAAGTATTTTAAATCAGTGTCCCATGATGTAATTAATTTGACAATTATAATCCTGTTTATTGTTTGATAAAGTCGAAATTTATTTTTAAATTATTTATTTTAACGTAAACTAATATAAAAATAAAATTTTTAAAATAGATTATGCTTATAAAGTATAAATATTAGTATTATAATGATAGTTATAAAAACATAAATAAAATTACTGCTTCTGTTCATTGAGTTTATTTGTTAATTAAAATATTCAGGATAATTAATTAATAGTCAGTTTGTGTTTAAAATAAAAAGTATTATCTCTCTCTCTCTCTCTCACTGTTTATGTGACTTTAAAAATGAAAAATAAAATTTAATTTTCAACTTATTTTTTGTTATATCTCACATTTTTATTATTTTTTCTCGTTT